ATATGTTAAGTATAAATATAAATGGCATAAACATTTTGTTGACAAAGAACATTCTACAAATATCATAAACTTATACATACCCCAAACCAGGCTCAACTCATACATATTCATATTTTTACAATTTTAAAGAAAGAAATATTCATATATATTTATAGGTATATACAAATAATTAATTATATTCCAACTAATAATTATTTAAATTTTCTTAGTATGTTCATATATCTGCTTAAACTTTCTTTAGGTCTTGAACATTTCAAAGTGGGTAGTAGTTTCACTATTTTACAGATAATACAATAAGTAAATATTAAATCATTTGCCAAAGTCACTTGATTATATAATTAATTTGAACTTACATTGTTTCAACTCAAAAGCATTTTCTTTTACCTTTTTCTTCAAGATTTTTGGGGAAGGAAGGTGAGATTTGGGGCCACACCCAGTGGTTATCATGGCTTACTCCTGGCTCTGCACTCAGGGATCACTCCTGGTGGACTTGGGTGAGCAGATGGAGGTGTTGTGGATTCAACTGGGATCAGCCTAGTGCAAAGCAAATGCCTTACCTCCTATACTATCGCTCCAGTCACTCAAAAGCATTTTCTACCTGACAACTTTGTGAAATTTTCATTTGTTTGTTTTGTTTTGGGGCCACACCTGGCAAGCTCAGAGTTTACTTCTGGATCTGCATTCAGAAATTACTCCTGGCAGGGTCAGTGAATCATGTGGCATTTTGGGGATCAAATCCAGGTTGGCTGTATGTGAGATAAATGCTCTATCTACTGTACTATTGGTCTGACCCCTGTGATTTCGTTATATTGATTTTTTTCTTACAATTTGTTTCTACTACCTACTATACCTGATGGAGAAAAAAATTGTCTATTTTTGGAAAGATAAAGAAATTAAGGCTCAATAGAGTTTTCTGACTTGACTAAGCATAACCAATAATTTATAGACTGAGACTTGAATATTATCCTCTAATTTCTATTCCTGTCCTAATCTCAGAAGTGGATACACCTATAGTGGAAAGGTGAAAAAACAAACTCTAGATTTAAAAATTCCTACTTGACTAGAGTACTCTTTTAAATTCTATTTTCAAATTGTCTTTGTATATTGCCATATTTCTTTGCAGTCTATGAACCTGCTACCACTTCCATGGTGAAGAAGTCTTGCAAGATGGTGACTACATAAAGGCGCAGAGCTCTCCTCTTGGTCATATTTTCAATCAAATAATTTACTAGCTGAAATATAGACCACTGAAAAGAACCACACAGTGAGAGAAGCAGTACTCTCCCAGGGACAGATGATCTCAGAAATATTGATGAGTGGGATTGGAACCATAGTACAGTTTCCTTAGTAAGCGCTTTCCTTGCATGTGACTCACCCAGGTCTGAATATTGGCATTTAATGTGGTATCCAGTGTACCACCAAGAGTAATTCCTAGTGCAGATCCAGAAGTAAATCTTGAGCATTGTTGGGTGTGACCTCAAAAGTATAAATAAATAAATGAATAAATAAATAAATAAATTTTTTAAAATGAAGATTATAGGAACAACTGTAAATAAGGTCATTTGGTGTTTCTTCCCGATGGTCTAACTTGGTAGAAAGAGAGCACAGTGAGGTATGAAACAGCCTTTTTCTCAAAAGGCAATGTGAGGAGCAGAGTTCTACCACTGGGTGTTTGGGAAATGAATAGGTGCTGGCAACCCACAGATGCCGGAGAGGCAAAGAACTAGGACTGAAGGGGAAGATAACTCATGTCCCTGCTGGAGAGGAGGCTGGGGACTTCAAACAGTTCTCATGGCTGTTGGCACAGAGTTATCCTGGATGGTATAAGACAAATCAACGATCATGACCATCCTGTTGTTTGTCTATTGCCTTGAGCAGGCCCCAGTAACGTCTCCTTCGTCCTAGCCCTGAGATTTTTTTAAAAAACATGCCATATTCAAGGCTCTTTCAGGGTTAGGAGAATGAGACCCATCATTGTTACTGGTATTTGGCATATTGGGTACGCCACGGGGAGTTTGCCAGACTCTGCCGTTTGGGCTGGTTACATTCAGTAGCCTACCAGTTTGTCCAAAGTAAGAATGAGATAATAAGATGTTGTGCGGCTGCAAATGCAGCCACACGCTTCCGGGAGCTGGGTTTTATAGTCTCTGGGTCTTGGTCATTGATGGGATTACACGGCGCCAGGGGGCCAGTTGGTGGGTGTGACCCCTGCCTACTGGAATATGGAGAATCTGGGTGGAGGATGCTCAGCCCTGATCCGAGCAGGCGAGCAGGCTTGGAGATCTCAGCCCCGGGACACGCATGCCTTTGTTCCTCTGCTGGTACCTTCATGCATGTGAAAAACTGAAAGCATTCCTTTTTATATCAGGAATAAAATAGGATATCCACTGTCTACTCTCATTCAATATAGTGTTAGAAGTTCAGCAATGGCAATCAGGCAAAAAAATAAATTAAATTAAATGGATCTAAATAGAAAAGAAAAATCCAATTCTCACTATTTGCAGAACACAAAAAAATAATTAGAAGATCCTAAAGTCCACTAAGAAGCTCCTATTGACAACTAACCACTGTAGCAAAGTATCTAGCTACAAATTTGCTGTACAATAATCCGTTGCATTCCTAAATGCAAATAAAAAATGAGACAAGAATGAGATTAGCATCCACTTCTTTCAAATTGGTGTCCAAAAACATCAAGCAGTAAGAACCTACTAAAAGATAGGTTGGTGAGAGATCTATACCATGAAAACTGTAAGTCACATCTGAAAGATATATAAGAAGACATTAGGAAATAGGTAAAACATTGCATGTTCATGTATTGAAAGGATCAACGTCGTTAAATTGATTATCATATCTAAATTATTATGTAGATTCAGTGCAATCCCCATCTAAATTCCAGTGATGTTATTCAAAGATTTAGGATGGTCAATAATAAATTTTGTATAATAATAAAACACTCAGAATAGCTGAAACAATATTGAGAATTGTGAAATTAGGAGGTATCTCATATAATCTGAAACAATATTTTAAAACAATTTTCATCAAAACAATATGGCAATGGTCTAAGGAACTATTCTTACCAATAGGGCAAAGACTACCCAAATCAAGTACCCAGAGTCAAATCCCAGATCTGTGGTCAATTAATTCTTGACAAAGGAGTTCACTATCTAAGACTGAGTATGCACCCAATCTACCATACTATTCCTCCTTCCCCTAGAAGAAACTTATTTAAGAACATACATCATTTAACTATTGCTTCTTCAATTTACCTGTAGCACTGTGGCACTGTCCTCCCATTGTTTATCGATTTTCTCGAGTGGGCACCAGTAACGTCTCACAACAAATTGTGAGACTTTGTTTGTGTGAGAATTGTGTTTGGGATACTGAATACGTCACAGGTAGCTTGCCAGGCTTTGCCACGGAGCGAGATACTCTCGGTAGCTTGCCAGGCTCTCTGAGAGGGGTGGAGGAATCGAACCCAGGGCAGAGGAATCAAACCTGGATCGACCATGTCGGCTGCGAGCAAGGCAAGCACCTTACCTGCTGTGCTATCGCCCCAGGCCAACTTACCTAAAATTGGGGTATTTCACCTCTTCCAAAAATCTCCCTTTTTTGTTTCCTACTGCTCAGTTAAGCTGTGTTTTTATAGGATGACCAAAAATATTGGGGATGATGGAGGCGGAGATGACAATACTTTCAACTTCAGCTGGAAGGTTTTCTGCAGTTGGGACTATTTGATTGGCAATCCTGAAACAGCAGACAACAAATTTAATTCTATCACAATGAATTTTAAGGTAAAGTTGTTAATTTAAGAAGCTTTTATTTTATTTATAAGTAAAATTAGAGTTATTCACTATCCTAGCTAAAAGAAAGTAATATAGTTCCTATTTAACATGATTTGGTCAGAGTTCTGATTCTGATTAACAATTACCTAATGATTCATGATAGAACTATTTCTTTTCTAAATTAGTAATTAAACGAGCTATTGGAACGAACCAGTTAACCATTAGGAATAGGCATTAAACATTAAATAATGAAACAAATTTTCCTAAGTATTTAAAGGTCAGCTCAATATTATTGTAAGTTTTCATTTCCCCCTACTGTATTAGTAGAGAATTTAAACTGAAGACTATCCTAGGAACAGGTAAGCATATGTTTAGAAAAATTCTATCTTCTCTCATTTGCCATCAATTATTAGGAATATTCATTTTGTAGAAACACAGATTAAGTTACTCTTTCATTTCTTACATACTAATGTTTGCAAGTATTATTTCTGAGTTCATTATAGTTTTTGTCACTTATATACTTTCTTTTTTATGTTGTCTGGGTACAGGAAGCAATTATCGAAGAAAGAGCGGCTCAGGTTGAAGAAAACGTACATTTGATTAGATTCCTGAGATTTCTTGCTAACTTCTTCGTGTTCCTAACCCTTGGCGGCAGTGGATACCTCATCTTCTGGGCTGTGAAGCGATCCCAGGAATTTGCTCAGATGGATCCTGACTCCCTTGGGTGGTGGGAAAAAAATGAAGTACATGTTTTTTATGTGCTTAGAACCTGACGTTTATGGCTTTCTTTTATTAATCTTTTGTAACATTTTATAATATTAAATTTTGATTATTCTTGTGTAATCTTTTGGAATATTAAATAAGCTCACCTTAACTTATTCCCTCCACCCTTTCGTTAGAGTTCACTGACGACATCACAGTTCTTACTCCATTCTATTCTTCAAATTTTACTTATTACCTATTACCTGGTCTTCATTTTGTGACATTATAGAAAGTTGCAGTTAAAAATAAATATTAATAAATGACTAAAAGAATATGAGAAAAAAGGAGATAGCCCTATTTGGGGGAACTCTTGAATCCTAGGACTACAGCAGACAATAATGGGGATTCAGAAATAATTTTAGAAATCTAATGAAACAGAATTTATGTTTGCTTTATATGAGATTATAGAAAATCTGCCAGGTTTTTCTGGTTTTTTTTTCCATTTTTTTCCTTGCATGTTGTTTCCTCTGACAAGATGCAAGACAAATGCCCAGTTTGCTTGAGTTTTTTTAAAAGGACACTTCCTTTGTCCCACATGAATGACCAATTAAGAAATAAGTCCAATTGGCAAAGTGAGAAGGGGGATCTTTCAGGTTTTTCTTAAGGATGAAATTATACCTTGCTAAGTTTGTATTATGCCATTCTTGTTTTGTTAGCTTCTGCTGGACATGTTTATACAAGACTATGAATCAAAATGGAAAAATATAGACAACTGTTTTCTAAATATAATCTAGTAGTTCTCAAGGGGATATATGAAATATTTAGTAGCTATACTTGATTCAGGTATTTAGGGAAACATTTGTCAGGGTCACCTGAAAACTTTTGTTTTTAACTCAAAGGGCTTTTCCCTAATTATAAAAGCAGTGAATGCTTTGGGTTCTTTCCTTGATTTATTTTTTCTTAATAATCACTGTGGGCTGGAGCGATAGCACAACGGGTAGGGCGTTCGCCTTACAAGTGGCCAACATGGCCGACCCGAGTTCGATTCCTCCGCCCCTCTCGGAGAGCCCGGCAAGCTACCGAGAGTATTCGATATGCCAGACACAGTAACAACAAAGTCTCCAATGGAGACGTTACTGGGCCCGCTCGAGCAAATCGACGATCAACGGGAGGGCCTTTACCTTTACCTTTTAATCACTGTGGGCTGGAGAAATAGTACAGTGGGTAGGGCATTTGCCTTGCATGCTGCCTAACTGCGTTCAATCCCTATGGCCCTATATGGTCCACTGAGCATCCAGGAGTAAGTCCTGACCACAGAGACAGAAATAAGCCCTGAGCACAGCCAGGTGTAGCCCAAAACACAAAAAAATGAAGAAACAAAAAAATAAATAAAACAATGCAGCCGCAGCATTTTTATTCAACAGATAAAAACACATATTATTTTTATATTTCCATGTTCATATTTGTGCTCTCACTCTGTCTCCCTGCACACCCCATTTGTGCCATCATTTTCTCTACCTTTGGCTTTATGAATCAGTTCTTCATTTTCTAAACTTTGCTATGTTATCATTAAGTAATATGATTTCGTTTTGTTGGTCTTCTGTTTTTTTTGTCAAAATGAATTTTACTTTGTCACTAACAATTTACATTCTCACTACTCTGTATTTAGCCTTGAGCCTGTCTCAAAGGATTCATCCATTCTAATTGACTTAATGTGTTCTTATGATGATGATCCTCAAGTTAGTTATCCAGTTTGGGCCTTATAATTCAAGGTCATATGCCATTTGCTCTGGAAATCTTTTTGTGAAGTGCATAATATCAAAAACAGTATATAGTGTAATATATATTCTTTGGATAGAAAATGATGCTAATTAAGTCCCTTATCATGTCAGCAAAAGGAACTGTCTATCACTGGCACATATATGATCTTGTGAAATTATAGATATATATACATTAAGAATGTGAATTAACTATTGCATTTGTTGTATAAGAGTAAAATTTTAAGATACATAAGATAATCTGCTTTCATCTAAAAATAATCAAAGGGACATAGCTGAAATCTTGCAACCTTTTGGAAGAAAATAATAATAATTTTCAAATGTCATTCACCTAGTTCATCCTTTGTGTGTCCTTGTAGATGAACATGGTAATGTCCCTCCTGGGGATGTTTTGTCCAACACTGTTTGATTTATTTGCTGAATTGGAAGACTACCATCCCCTCATTGCTCTGAAATGGCTACTGGGACGCATTTTTGCTCTTCTTTTAGGCAACTTGTATGTATTTATTCTTGCTCTGATGGATGAGATTAACAACAAGGTAAGTCTGGTGTCAAAATTTCCCTTGCCATCAACTGGATGTTTCATTCCTAGTTCTAGCATTGGCTGCATTTAACTCTGTCCTCATTTCTATTTTTTTATTATTTTCATTCTAGATTGAAGAGGAGAAGCTAGTCAAAGCCAATATTACCTTATGGGAAGCCAACATGATTAAAGCCTACAACGCATCCCTCACTGGGAATACCACAGGGCCACCCTTTTTTGTGCATCCTGCAGATGTACCTCGAGGACCCTGCTGGGAAACAATGGTGGGGCAGGTAACGACACAAACAGAAGTGTGCAAGTATTCATTCATTAATTCAAAAATACAGAGTTAGTATTTCTTGATAAGTGTGCTCTAATTTTATCTTGTAAGCAAAATATACTCAGTAGTTTTAAAATATTGGGTATTCAATAAATTGAACACTTGAATATTTAATAAATTAATCAACATTTGTTGGCCATGAATTTCATATTTGCATTCTCGTATAATCCATATATTAAGAAAAATACATCTGCACCCACTTCATAGTTATATATAAAGGAAGACTATTTTAAAATGATTTCAGATATTTACTATGTGTGTTAATGCTAGAGTGATAGCACAGCGGTAGGGCATTTGCCTTGCGCACAGCCAGCCTGGCCGAGCTGGGTTCGATTCCTCTGCCCCTCTCGGAGAGCCTGGCAAGCTACTGAGAGTATCTCGCCCACACGGCAGAGCCTGGCAAGCTACCCGTGACGTATTCGATATGCCAAACACAGTAACAACAAGTCTCAGGGTGGAGACGTTACTGGGCCCGCTTGAGCAAATCAATGAAGAAAGGAAGGACCGTGACCATGACTATGTATTTTATAATAAAGCATCCATAATAGATGCAGCCAAAAATGGATCTCTGTGATATATTTTCTAAAGATTCTCTGGGAAGCATATTTTAATGATTTCATAATGTCAATTTTTATCAAAAATTGTCCCTTTAAGCATTAAAAATATTATTTTATGTACTTACAGAGGTATATTTTTAGAGAAAAGAAATAATACCACTTATTGGCTTTCTTTCCTGTATAGAAAGCCAAACAAACTGAAAGAAAAACCAAAACAAAGCAAAATTAGTTTAGCCCATCTTTTAGAAGATCCAATTTATATTTTGAAAAACCTTTAATTTTATTTCATTTTAATTTAAATGCTTTATACACATGTCATAATTTGTGTTTTATAACTGCTTTATAATGTTTAAAATATGTGCTTCTATTTGACGACAATTCAATTTCAGCAGTAATATGGTCTTTGTAAATTATTTGAATAATTTTTTACTAGATACTTATTTTCTATAAGATTAAAGGAAAACTGAAAGTTAGCATTAGTCTTATAAAATTGATGTAATCTAAACAAATCACCTTCACATTTAATCAGCTATTGTAGGACTTAAACCAGTCAACTGTTGTTTCAATTGTAGGGGAAACATTTTATATTAGCAACAAATCAAGAAGAATGAGTTTTAAAAGTAATATTGTACAATTAAGGATTTTATTTTCTTTTTTAAGCTTTCTGGAGCCAGATAAAAGGCCCTTGCTAGTTATATGCTATAAAAGATGCAATTTTCAGTCACGCATACTTTATCAAATGTGGCAAGAAACTATTATAAAGGAAATAATGAAACAATGGTTGCCTTCATTTAGTATAGAGGTGTATTGCTCTGCAGTGTGGTCAACAGGATAATGGCCAGTTTACCATTTGGTAATCACTATGAAACTATGACTATGTTCCTTTACATGGTAAATGGATTTTGATGACTTGATTAAGTAAAAGGCTTATTATCATGGGGGTGAGTTTAATGAAATTACAAAGGGGAGGTAGAAAACTAAACCTCAGAAGAAAGAAATGTTTTTCTCAACAGTGACACTCAATGGAATTTATGGTTTTTTTCCTTCCAGTATTTATTTTGGAACATGGCTTACAATATTATAAATAACAGGGCTTCAGGCCTACTATGTCTTAATTCCACACCCACCAACAGTCAACAAGTGTCAGTTTCTCAAATGTTATTACTATAGCTTGGGTCACATGTTTACAATAATGTTAGACATAGTTTTCATGCTTTCATGCTAACTCTACAACCAAAGTTCCCACAATACTTCACAAATGATCCTATATTATATCCAGTCCAGCTCATCATTTCCTCAGTCACTCAATACCCCGACCTTCCCATTCTTTTTTTATATATATTTTTATTTTATTTTTTTAAAATATTTTTATTAGTGAAACACCATGAGGTACAGTTACAGACTTACAAATTTTTGTGCTTGGGTTTCAGTTATACAATGATCAAGTACCCATTCCTCCACTAACACCCATCCTCCACCACCATGAGTCCCAGCATCCCTCCCACCCCCCATCCTCCCCATCCATCCCTGCCTCTGTGGCAGGGCATTCCCTTTTGTTCTCTCTCTCTTCTTTTGGGTCCTGTGTTTTGCAAGAGAGGCATTGAGTGGCAATCATGTTTGGTCTATAGTCTACTTTCAGCATGCTTCTCCCACCCTGGGAGGATCCTCCCAACACCCTTTATTTGGTGCTCTCTTCTCTCTCTGAGTTTCCTTTTCCCCTAGCACGTGTGGCTGGCCTCCAATTCATGGAGCAAAATTCCTGGTACTAATCTCAACCACTCCTGACGACTCTCCCATTCTTATTTGGCATTCTCAGTTCTGTGTTCTGGGGCCAACAGTTTACATCCTTCCAACATTTCAATCCCTCGTCTCATTTTTTTACATACCACTGATGAATGAGATTACACTGATTTGTCTTTGTCCCTCTGACTTAGTTTACTTAACATGAGCTTCTCCACTTCCGTCCACATTGCCCGAGACAATATGATTTCACCTTTTCATATGGTTTTATTGTATTCCATTGTGTTTATGTCTGTTGTTGTACATTGGTTTGGGCTCATGGGGCTTCTGGTGTGCAAGATGGACTCACAGGAGCAAAGTAGCAGGCATTTAAGTTGCTTCCAGGCCCATGAAAGAGGTCTCTCAAATGATGTGTTGCTGTTGTTCTTTGAAGAGAACTTAGAAGTGGAATAAGTGAATCTTAGGGTAATCTGTTGGGGTGGGGGATGTGGAAGAGGACACAGCTGGTGATGCTCTGGGCTTACTCCTGGCTCTGGGCTCAGGAATGAATCCTGGCAGAGCTCAGATACTATATGGGGCTCAAACCTGAATTATACATATGCAAGGTAAGAGCCCTACTTGCCCCTATACTATCTCTGCATCCCTGGCAGTTAGCAGATTTAGTATTTATTTTTTTTTAGATCTCTATATTGTTTTCATAAAAGTTGG